CCTCTGCCTGGGGGCAAGACCCCTGCAGTGGACCCTGCCCTCCATGTGCCCCCAACGATGGCTGGCTGAACCCAGGACTCTGTGAGTCACCTTCGGGAGACACGGCTGGCTGCTCTGGAATGCAGGGCCACCCCTAAGGCACAGGACCGCGCTAGCACACATACGATCACTCAGTGACGAACACTTGCACGGGCCCATCTACACTAGCGCACACTCCCACCCACACACCGGTTCACACTCACAGTCACACTCATGCTCTCAGATATTCTCACACAGGTACACACACAATGGCACTCGAACACCCTCACTGTCACACACTCATACATACACAATACTGACACTAATTCATGCACACACATTCACACCCTCACTCACTGATATACACGTTCACATATGCACCCTCATGTACACACACACAGAGACTGAGGCGCACCTCTATGAGAGTGGCGTCCTCACACTGTTGGAGGGGAAAGGTTCACGCATCATTCAGCCCTGCTTTCTACCTTGGGCCGGACACAGCCAGCTTCCAGCTTTGGAAGTGACTCCATTTTCTGGCATTCCCTGCAAAGGGCAGGGGTTGGTGGTTAATGCAGGCTGAACTAAAAGTCCCTTTTCCTGAAGGCACTGGAGCCGGCAGATGGAAGCTTCCTGGCCTCAATCTCTGACGGTGTGACCTTGGGCAACCCATTTAACCTCTCTGTGTTACAATTTGCAGATCCATAAGATAGGAGAAATAATAACAGCTTTGGCTCAGAGCTGTGAGCATTTAATGAGGCAGTGATGTAACACAGTGTCTGGCACAGGTAAGTGCGCGATGCATTTTATCTATTTTGCATGTAGCGTTACTGTTTTGTCACAGAGCCCCCAAACAGAGAAGCTTTCCTTTTGCCTGTGATTATGAAACTCAGAAATACCGGAGCTCTTTCCAACTTCACCTTATGCGGAAGAGCAGCACCCTGGGACCGCAAGCTCCAGCTTCTTCCTGCATGGAGCCTGAAGCACAGCCATGCCCTCTGAAGGGCCCCTCCTCCACTGAATAGGAGACTGGACACAGGCCAAGGAGCCCTACATGCCAGGTCCAGGCTCCTGTCTCCTCTGGGAGGGTTATGTAGGCCATCCTGCTGTGTGTCTTCTTCAACTCACACATCTGCCAAAAACAGACATGGGGCGGAGGGGACTTTCTGGGCTCCGTGGCATCATCCTGAGGGAACCCTGACGTTTCCAGCCAGATTGTTTCGGGGCCTGCTCTGAGTCTGACTTACAACAGAGTGTGGCTCACAGAATCGGGCCTCTGGGAAAAGCAAGGAGGCTACACAATCCAGATCCTGTTGAATTTTTGCATTGTTCTCCCAGGCTATGGAGGCCCGATCTGAAGCCCGTTGACCCGAGGTCCTGGGTTTCCCTAAGCAACCGCTGCCTGGCAGACCCCCATCCCTGTCCACCACCCCCACCCACCCCCCCAGCTCCGAATTCTTCGGGGCTTTTTGAGCGCCAGTAGCTGGTGCCAGTTTTCCTCCTGAGACGGACGGCGCCCTCCCCTCCTCTGCGCGCATTCCCCTCCCCCCTCCCGAAACCAGCGGGGAGAGACGGGGCAGTAAATTGGCTGGTGTCGAGGATCTGCAGCAGACAAGATGATTAAGAGGCCTGCGCCGGAGCGCCCGGGGCAGGGAATGTCAGCCCAAGTTGGAATCACGCAACAGGCCTTGGCATGAGCCGAGCCTGGGAGTCGGGAGGGCGGGCGGCCCCAGCTCCGGGGTGGGCCGAGGCCCCACAGGCTCTCCGGAGTCGCCGAACCTGGCACCCAGCGGCGGCGGGGTCGGGTCGGGCCGCGGCGCGCCTTTCCGCGGGCGCAGGGGACCGAGGAAGGGGGTGTTTCCGCAGACGAGGAGAAGGGATCCCAGCGACGCGCCCGGGTCCCAGAAGTGAGG